TGCCAATACAGGGTCCAGCACAATCCATAGCCCAGATCGGCTTTTGCACACACTGATAGTTGCAATTGTTGGTTCAATTGTCTCCAGCCCTGTATTCTACACAAACTAATGGCAATCAAGTCCAATCCTGCCCACCACACACACTCGACCTCCACACAAACCAATGGGAGCTGAAGCCTAGTCGAAGTGACCCGCAAAAACCCCCATCAGGTCCACCCCATGTTCCTGTGTTTGCCAGTATGTATAGCAGACTTGTCCTGTCTGTCCCGCATCCCATTCAGCTCTCATGCATATCAATAGATGTTAAAACCTGGTTCAACTCAGCGAGCCTCACTATCCAGCCCACACATGTGTCAGCAGGTGATACTCGCTATGTAGTCATGCCTGTCCCAGTCCTGGTTCTCATGCTCACCAGTCAGAGTGGTAACCCAAGAGAGAGCTGCTCACTATCTCCCTAATGGATTCACTGCCACTCCTGCATCTTGCACTTTCCAGGTGATACTGCAGTTTAGCTAAGCAAAGTTTGCCCACTGTGCCAATGTGTGATAGCTACTGCTATGGCAAAGCCCAACCAATCCTCACCCACTCTGGCTTATGCATGTACCTGTAGGTACAGTTTGCACAGCCTGGTGTGTCCATGATCCAGCTTACATACAGGCCAATAAGTGTTGTGACCCTGCCCAACTTGATCTGCACACATCCCAGCTCTCATGCTCACCAGTGGGAATAGTGACCCAATAGGGGACCTCCCTCAACCCCCCTACCAGGTTTGCCCACTCTCCCCTGGATTTCACATGTGCTGGTTGGGCACTGTAGCCTAGTCTGGCATGGCCCGTTTTAACTCGGCATTTGCATCTGAGTACTGTAGCCTGGCCCGGCCCAGCCTGCCCAAGTTCCAGCTCATGCTGGTGGGGACTACAACCTAGCCAACCCAACCAGCCCCTAGTCCCGGCACTAGTGTGTACTAGCTGGTATTGTGGCCCAACCTGGAATGACCCCACACACCACCCTGACTTTCAAATTTGCCAGCGGGTGATACCAAGTGGCCCAGCCTGGCTCACCCCAGACCTGAGCCAAAGGTAAAACTGTGAGTATCATAACCTGGCCTGGTCTGGGCTGCTTCCTATTGTGATTTTTATGCTCACCTGCAGAGACTGTTTCCTACAGACGAGTTCCCCAAGTTCTTCCATCAGAAACCTCTCCCAATGCCAGATTTCGCACACACCGGTGGGTCCATGTGCCAGCCCTACTTAGTCCACCTCCCAGCCTACCAGGAACAATAGCCTTTACTAACTGGCCATCATCCATTCTGGTTCTTACTATTGGGTGCTACAGCCAAGCCAAGCCTAGTGCACGCCCAGACACAGCTCATGCATAGCTCAGGATGGGCAGAGGCCTAGCTCAGCCCATACTACACCCACCCTGGTTCTCACAATCACCAGTAGGTGCTAGAGTCTAGCCAGTCTGGTACCCCCAAGCTCCAGTCCACACTTGTGCCGAGAAAGACTGCAACCATGTCCAGATCAGAGTGCAGCCCTACTTTTGCCCATGTATTCATCACTGGGACACAGAAACCAGCCAGGGTGTCCCTTGTCTCCCCAACAAGGCCTGATCCCAGCCACAGATCTCATGCATGCCAGTGGTTGCTCTGACCCAATTGGCATATCCTCTCCCCTGTCTTGGCCTTTGCCTTCTGATGCTGCAGCCTGGCCTGGCCCAGCCGACCCCTAGTCCTAACTCTAACTGGCGGGTCAGGCAACCTGGCCCTGCTAATTCTGCTATCATCCCTGGTTCATGAAAAACAGTAGGTGTGGCAGCCCAGCATGACCTGCACTCCCTACTGGTTGCTGTACTTGCCAGTGGGCTATGGTTTGCTCAGCCTTGCCCGGTCTGCCCCTTTCCAAAACCAACTCATACACTTGTCAACAGATGGAGCTACCCTGCCTGCCCAACACCCAGGCCTGGACCATCTATACATCAGCAGAGGCTATGACCCACTAGGGGAATTTCCCAGATTCGCCCATTCAGGCCACTCCCAGAACCAGATCTCTCGCATGCTAGCAGGTGTTTGGCCTTTACCTGGCAGAGCTTGCCTATTCCATTCCAACCCAGCCTGCCCCAACCCATCTGTTAGGGTGCTTGTGTGGGTACTGCAGCCTGGACATACCCCAGTTGTTCCCAGCGTCAGTACCAGTTTAGCATCAGTGAGTTCCATGGTCACACTTTGCTCAGCCCATCACCATCACAACTCTCAAGCTGATCAGCAGGATTTGTAGTTCCATAGGGTTGGACTCACTTATTCCCCCCACCCACAGAGCAGGTTCTCTTGTGTGCTGGTTGGTGTCATGGCCCAGTCTAATGTGACCCATTCCCTGATCCGACACTCAAGTCAGGTACTAGAATCCAGTCCTGACGGACAGGCCCCCAGCCGTAGCTTGCATATGCACTGGCATGTAGTGGTCAGACGTGTTCCAAGCTAACAACTCCAACCCAGGACTCCCATGTGGGCTGGTGTATCAGTCTGACACATAAAGAGCTTCAGCTCTCCCATCAAAACCACCAAATCTCAGTCCCTCGCTTACCTGCAAGTACAGTGGCCCCGTCATTGGATGTCCCTCAGGATTCATTTCTCACCTACACATAGGAGTGGCCTTATTCATGGATATCCCTAGGCAGTAATTCCATACTCCAAAGACCCCAGAGCTTACCACCAGGTGGCCAGTGGGCAGAGCCGACAAACCTATGACCCCTCTCCCGCCGTAGCACCAGCAGATGGGAGCTAGGATCCCCAGTAGGAAGCCTGGCATGGCACAGCTTCTCCCAGCCACAGCTACATGGCCAGGAGAGTAAGATACCCAAGTCACTGTTCTGACATACCTGGACTCTGCCCACCAAGATCCACAACTCTGCTTTTAAATAAAAATTTTAAAAATTGAGGGGAAAAGTTTACAATTTTATAGCACATAGGTGAGGTAGAGGATGTGGCTGCCCTTTGTAATCTCAGAGATTTTATTAAATGACAATTACTGCCACTTAAAGTCCTGTTTATCCAGCAAGACCTGGTGTTTTCTTTTGGGGACAATTTTAAATTACTGATTCCATTTCTTTAATAGTTACATAACCATTCAGGCTTATTTTTTTAAGTTAATAGCCTAGATAACTTATCTTCTCAGACAGTGTACATAGTTTCCTATTTTTGCAGTATAACAGATAGTCTTCTTCATTTTTATTTTTAGTTGTTGTGAAGTGCACATCAAACGCACAGGTCAACAGCATGAGATTTGCTCACGTGATCTGGCGGTCACCCTGTGGAGTGTTTCTCCTTTGGAAGCTGAAACTCTTTATGCCTCAAACTGCCTCCTGTTTCCCCTCCCCTGGTTCCTAGCAGCATGGTTCTCTTTCCATGTCTGTGAATTTGTCAAGTATGCATCTCGAGTTACCATTCCCATTTTTGTAAAGGTGGAAAAGCAAGACAGAGAAGAAACAGACTATGAATTCAACAGCCAGAACAGTTTTATTCAAAGCAAAACTTGAGAGAGAGAGACCCAGTACAGCGAGCATATTTCCTACAGGCTAAGGGCTTCTGTCTCATGGGCTAAGGCTGAACTCTGAAGACAACAATGCAGCTGTAAGATGGAATCACTTCTGCTCATGAACCAGCAGTTTCCACACCAACAATGTTTGTGCTATCTTTTTGCTCATAAGTAGATTTCCCCAGAGACTTGCCCATTGTATTTGATTTTCCTTCTAAGAACTAATTCTGACTTGAGTGTTTTTTTAACTTATAAAATATAGCCTGTGTTTTTGTTTTCTGTTTCAATGATGTACCTTTACTCCCTGTAAAGTCACATTTGGATTTATGTTGTTCTTTTATAGCTCCTTGACCACTTACTAAAATTGGGTACTTAATTCAGGCTTCTGTTCTTACGCAAGCATTCAAGGCTATCAGTATCTCTAAGTGCTACATTTCACGAATTTTAATGTGATGTTTTCTTTATCACTCAGTTCTGAGAACTTATAACCTACTATGGTTTCTAATTTGATCATTTAGGGTTTTGGGGTTTTTTTTTACATTATTCACATAGTTGAGAGGAACGCACACCATGTGGGTCTCCAAGCATGGTGGGGATGATCAAGTCATAGAGAAAGGTGGATGGGACAAATGCTTCAACTTTCTTTTTTCTCCTTTGTCCTCAGAGAAGGAAGGGAGAGACCACTCCTTATTGTCAAACTACATCAGCACCCAGGGATGGGGGAATGGCCATGTGATGACACCTTAGAGACCCCAATGTTGGGGAGAATGTTCGAGGGTGTTAATTGAGTGATTTTGATAGCTCTGAGAATTCATTGAATTCATTGCACCAGGGTTAAGAAAATCTTTCCAAGATGTATGGGCTGACCAAATCCACCTTAGCGTGCACCCACAGACTAAGGAACATGTTGCAAAGCTTGGCCAGAAGAGTGGTCCAGCCTGTTCTGCTTCCCATCCTCCAATGAGGTGCTTGATATCTTCTGCTGACTTAGATGAACCATCATGTCCCTTGTGTACATCTGGGGATGCTGACCACTGCACAAATTGAGGAGGTCCAGTCCCAACTCATGCATTCCAAGGTCTGACCACCACATTTATCATGATTTTCCCTGCAGCCAGGATTTGAGTCCAGCCATCTAGCTGGGGAATGCCTTCATAAGCCTCACCTGGGGTAACCTCTGGCTTGACTCTTGTGTGAACCAGCCCACGCAGGGTCAGGTTCAGTTGTTTGTCTACATCAGCCAATGCACATACCAGTGCATGCAGCTGCCTGGTCAGTGCTACACCCAGCCCCATCTCTCATGCAAACTGATGAGTGCTATGGCATAGCCTAGCCCAGCCCAGCCCCATCTGCAGGCACGCTAGCAGGTGCCACAGCCTAGTAGAGACGAACCCCAACAATCCCCACCACACCCACCCTGGCACTCATTGGTGGTTGCTACAGCCTCGCCCCAGCCTTGCCCACCCCCAGACCTGGCTCTCAGGTGAACTAACAGATGCCATAGTCTAATCTGGCCTACCCCACATCCATTGTGGTTCTCATGAGCACCAGCTGGTGCTGGAGCCTACCACAGTCTGACTAACCCCAGACTCTGCCCACAGGCATGCCAACCTGGTCTGCCCTCAGCCCTGGCTGTCACACTCACCAGGAGGAGCTGCAGCATAGCAGGAGAGTGTCCAGAGTTCCCCTATCAGGTCTGTTCTCAGCCCTGGATCTTGCACGTGCTGACAAGTGCTTTGACCCAGCCTGGTATGGCCCACTTTCAGTCTCAGCTCCTGCTGGCAGGTATTACAGCCTAGCTCAGCTGGGCTCAGCCCACATCCTGTCCTGACTCGTGTGAGCCAGCCGATGCTGCGGCCTGGCCTAGCCCAGCCTGTCTCAAGACCTGGTCCACACTGATGCTGAAGAGTGTTACAGCCTTGCCTTGCCTGGCCTGGCCTGGCCTGGCCTGCTCCCAGCCCCAACCATTGTTCTGCATAGCAGGAGCTATGACCTAGCAGGGGAGTTCCCCAAGTTTGCCTGCTAAGCCCAGATCTCATGTTTGCCAGCATGTGCTGTGGCTCTTCTTGGAAGGACCTACCCTCAATCCCGGCCTTTACATGTGCCAGTAGCAGTCTGGCCCAGCCTGGCCTCCTTCCAGCTCTAGTAGGGGCTTGGCCTGTCATCATCCCCAGTTCTCCTTGCAAACTAGAAGGTGTTGTTGTCCCACAGAAGTGAGCCCACAATTCCCCTAAGAATCTGCCCCCAAATCCAATTCTCTCACATTCTGGTGGGTGCTCAGGCCCAATGTGAATTGGCCCACCCACTGCTCTGACACTCACGTTCAAGTACTGCAGCCTAGCCCAGCCAGGCATGCCCCCAGCTCCAGTTTTTGTATGCGCTAGTGGGCATCAGGTGATGTTATTTAGCCCAGCTCATGTTTCCCACGTGGGCGGGTGCCTTGACCTGACCCAGACATGCCCTCCAGTTTCCCCCTTGTAAACCACTCATCTCAGCTCTCTAGCCTACCTATGAATGCAGTGATCCAGTCCCTGGCAGCCCCCAAATCATTACTTCCCTGTCAATTATGCCCTCAGCCACCTCCACTGCAACACATCTCTAAACCCCTTCCCCAGGCAATTGGCAACCACCACCTGGGAGCTGGTGTGGCATGTGCTGGCGCCTTATTCCCTGCCTTCCCCATATATCTTTTAAAAATAAGAATAGGCAGCTGTGCTGGCACACCAGTATAGTTAACACAAATTTGACATTAAACAGGTCCAGAACGCCTGCCAGCCTTGGTTGCTTTTCTCCCAAAAATGAAACACTTTTCTCCCAGAAGTGTAGCACAAGGCAACCTAGGCAGTTGCCTACAGCTGGGGCTAGGGTATGTTTTAAACCTATCAAATATGTGATCTTTAGAACTTATCCTCTTGAAGAACTCCTGTCTCTAACTTATAAATTCAGACCAAGCTTTTAAATTGGGTTTCAACTCTTCCATTCATTGATTGATTTTATTCCCTGTCTTTATCACTGTTTATAACTAAGGGTACATGTTAAAATCTTTTGTTATGTGGTCATGTCTGACACAGCATTTAGGATGCTACTTGGGACGCCAGCCTCCTATAGTAGACAACCTGTCTTGAGTCTCCAGTTCTCCACTTCTGATCCAGCGTCCTACTATCACAGTCTGGGAGGTAGTACATAATGGTTCAAGTACTTGGATCTCTGCCACCCATGTAGAAGATTTGGATTAAAATTTGGGCTCCTGGTTTCAGTCCATCCCAGACACTAGCTATTGTGGGCATCTGAGGACTGAACCAGAGGATGAAAAAGTGTTCTCCATCTTTTCAAATAAAATTAAAATGTTGTCTAGCACTAGGCCTAGTGGCTAAACCTTCATCTGGTATGGATGCTGGTTTGTATCCTGGCTATTCCACTTCCCATCTAGGCCCCTGCTTGCAACCTGGGAAAGTAGTGGAGGATGGCACAAAGCCACGGGGCCCTCAACCATCATAGGAGACTCAGAAGAGACCTCTGGCTCCTGGCTTTGGTTCAGCTCCAGCCACTGTCAGTGTACTCATTTGGGGAGTGAAGCAGTAGATGGAAGAACTTTATCTCTCCCTCTCTGTAAATCTGCCTTTCCAATAAAAATAAGTGAATCATTTTTAAAAATGAAAATGTAAGAAACACTACCTCTTGTTATGGTGATTTTATCTCTTTGTTTTGCTTTCAAGCCAGATGCCCTCAATTTTAGAACTACTCAAACTTGCTGGTGAACTGAATATTTCATCTAGGCACTCACTCTAACGTGTACTTCTGTCATAAAAGGCCACTTTGTCCACTATTAATATAACTTTCCCAGCTTTCTCTGGGTAGTGTTTGTGGGAACTTTTCACCTTTGGAATTTCAGCCAATTCCATACCCAGACACATTTATTAAATCTGTCTCTTGTAAACAAGTCAGCTGAGTTTTAGATTTTAATGTTTCAAAAATCTAACGTGACAATCTTCATGCTTTAACTGTAATTAAGTCCTCTTATTTCTGTTGTGATTCCTCAATCTGGACTTCTTAATATAATACCATATTTTAAAAGATGTATTTTAAATATGGTATTTTAAATACCATATTTTTAAAAATGTATTCCCTTTTTCTCTGCTTTCCTCATCGATGTTTTTAACTGATTGAGGGATATATATATATATGTTTTAAAAGATCTTCCATCTGCTGATTCACTCCCCAAATGCCCACATCAGAACAGCCAAACCCAAAAGATGGAACTCCATCCTAGTCTTTGAAATGAGTGGCAGGGGCCCAAGTATTTGGACAATATTCTGCCTCTTTCCCCATGCACATTAGTAGGATACTGGATCAGCAGCAGAACAGTCAAGGCTCAAACCTGTCCCAACCTGTCCGACGCCCAAACCCTGAGGGTGGACTGGGAATGCCGGGCTGCTAGCCCCCGGGCTCCTGGCCCAAGAAACACACGGACACACATACTTGGTGGGAAAGAGTGCCTCATGTTCTTTATTTCACTCCTCATGTATATATACCTTCTTCTCTAGGAGAGGAGGGGAAGGGGAGGGGTTTCCTGGAAGTAATTATCTTCATTGAAACAGGGGAGGAACTAATATCTGAACAGAAACAAGGGTGGAGGTTCTATTCCGCTTGCTCTACACAGGATGATCCGGTCTAATATCCAGCTTGCTGTGGCCCTGCTTGCCCAAGGCAGCCTTTGCAATGCAACAGGTTGTCAGGCCAACTCTATGGTCCATAAGTCTGTGGCTCCTAACACAAACCAGCATTCCCAACTCTTGCCCATTTTGAAACGATTTGACCCTTTCTAGTGCTTCATAGTCTTCTATACATACTTGTCTCCCTTGAAATTTTAACATGCTCATATAACATCTCTTAAATCAATTTTTTTCACCAGCTTTTTAAAAGAGATTTAAATTTATTTTTATTAGAAAAACAGATTTACAGAGAGCAGGAGAAATGAAAAAATTCTTCCATCCACTGGTTTACTCTCTGCTTGGCCACAATGGCTGGAACTGAACTGCTCCAAAGCCAGGAGCCAGGAGCCTCTTCCAGTCTGCATGCAAGTGTAGGGTCCAAAGGCTTTTTGCCATCCTCCTCTGCTTTCCCAGGTTGCAAGCAGGGAGCTGCATGATTAGTGGAGAAGCCAGGATACAATCTGGTGCCCATGTGGGATCTTGATGCATACAAGGCAAAAGTTGGGGCACTAGGATATTGCACCCAGCCCCATATACTATCTCTTAGTTGATAAAGTGTTATATATATTTGTATATGCATAATGTTTTGAAGTATGTGGGAATGAATAAACCAGGCTAATTAACATGTATTACCTAGGTATCATTTCTCTGTGTGATGAGAACACTTAAAGTCTACTCTCTTAGCAATTTTCAATATGCAGTACAGTGCTTCTAGCTCTAATCTCCATGCTGTACCATGTGTCTCTAGAATTTACTCCCCTATCTAACTGGGCTTTCTGTCATCTGAAAAGATCTCCATTTTCTACAATCCACATTTGTAGATTTCATGTCTAAGTGGGATGCTATGGTGCTGAGTGGTCAGCCATCACCAGCCACTAAACATAGCACATCACCCATCAAGTCCATCCATCCCTCCTGCAGCCACCCCTCCACTTAACACAGTTCTGGCTCCCTTTCTGCTTGACTACATGACCTACCTCCCCAGCTGCTTGCGCGTGTGCACTTGTATCAGGCCCCAAAAGGAAGGGCCATTTTTTACCAGCTCTGCTGCAGGAAGTCCTGTGCCCAGGTCCAACTCCCAGTGTGCATCCACGAACCATGATTGGTTTTTTATGTCCAGTCTTGTGGTCCAAGGGATAGGGGTGAGTGGTGGGAAGACTTCAGCCCTTGAAGGAAAAAGCTATGCTTGGCAGACCAGAGCTATGAGTACTTAAGACCTAAGGAAAGTCATTCACCCCAGCTTGTTTGGGTTATTTACAGCACTAGCCATTCCTGTATTCATTCACTCATCCATCCATCCACGACCAACCCAAGAGTTATAAAGTGCCAACTATGTGCCTGCCAGCATCCAGGACCAGGTGGATGTGGCCTGTATAAGACAGTTTCTGTGCTTCTGGGTTGACAGGGAGAGGATGATATGTAAACTGTCAGATTGCAGTTAGCATTTCTAACAAAGTGTTGACCGACTGCCCAGACTGGGAGAAGTCACAAAGATGGTGGGGCAAGAGCTGGGGTGGATGGATTTAGAGCTGGACTGGAAGCCTACAGAAATTTGCCTGAACGCCTTTAGAGAAGGCTGCAGGCCAGCCCTACTGAGGCTGCTTTTGAGCTGACTGAAGCTCTTCAGGCATGGCTCAATGCAACTCTCCCTACGCCCTCATGGAAGCCAGGCCCACAAACACAAGTGTATCCTTTCCTTGCTCCGCCCCCTGCACAGGGAGCAGGCGGGAAGACTGGGTTATGTCCCTGCTTATCAACTGCTTTCCAGTTTCCTCTGATTGGATTCTTGGAGGCGCAAAGCCCTGGAGCTGGCCAATGCACGTGGCTTCCCAAAGGCTGCTCAGATAATGAGAGGAAATGCAGTCATCAGGTCCCAGTAGACGGGGATTTCAGACTGCGGCTCCAGACCGCCACTCCCTGACCTGTGCCCTCCGTCTCCCTCCAGGCAGCTCTCAGCTGTTCCCTGGAAGCCCACAGACACCATCCGAGATGACTTCTTTTGGTTGCTGGGGCCTGCCTACAGCCCTCCTCGCCCTGATCTGCTGCTCAGGTGAGCCGGAGCACTCAAGATCGTGACCTGGCATGTGCCAGCCTGGGACATAGGATGCCCTGCTTCCCTGGCTTAGTGGGGGAGGGGGTCCTAGCCCCACCATTGCCGGGGCTGTGAAGATGGGGACACCTCGGCACGGGTACAGGATTCTGTGCCGGCCTGGCTTCCAGTCCTCATAGGCTTTGTTGATACCAAGTGGAACAGACCCCGCAATGCTATTTCTTGGGAAAGATGAGGTCATGCAGGCTGCAACGCAGCTGAGTGGGGCCTAGGAGGCTGCAGGAATGAGGGGCTCAAGGGAAGATGAGTCCACGCACCCATCTACTCCTTAGAGGGGTGCCTCAGGGACAACAGAGGGCAGTAGAGGCACCAGCTTCTGCCTGAGGACGGAGTGAAAATGAAACCTTCATTGTGCCAGGGGCCTGTGAAGGAAGACACCACCCAGTGCTGAGCACCCTGCGCCTTGTCTCAGACACCCAGCAGGCTATGTCCTTGAACCTTCATGCCAGCCCTGAGGCAAAGGCATACCAGCCCATTTGCCATGAGGAAACCAGGGCTCAGAAGAAAGCACCTTGTTGGAGGCCACATGGCCAGTACATGACCGACTCTGGATTCAATTCCAGTGTTATCTGCCTGTAACGCCCCTGGCCTGTCACTTCCTTGTATGCCATAAGCGAAGGCTGTGTGGGGACAAGCAAGGGGGTGGGGGCTCAGGACACAGGTTGGGACCCGGTGCCTTCCTAACTGGAAGAGATGAACTGATGGAGATGGGCATCAGGCCTCAGTCTTCATGTAGCAGTACTTCCTGCATGTGCAGAGCACAAAGAAGGATGTGCAAAGCCTGGCCCTTCTTTTCTGGAATCAAAATGGCTAAGAAGTAGGAATCTACCGGGTCAGCTTTCTGGGCCGTAATACCCCACTGGTCCCCCACACTGAGATCTCTCTGGCCTGATCTCCTTGCCCCAAGCACACCGGGCCAGGGTCATTCACATTCACAAGCACATTCAGCCCAGGGTCTGCACAATCACAGTCTTCCTCCCCTGGAGCACTGCAGGACTTGCCAGCTGCTTCCTATATGTGCCCAGATGTCACCATACAGGAGAGGCCTCCTCAGGAATGTGTCCCCAACCCGACAGGTTGGACAATCTACTTGCTGCTGTTTGTGACAGTCCCCTCTGCTGGAATGTGTGCCCACAAGAGCAGGATTGGATCGGCTTCCTGGTTTATTCACTGCTGCCTGCCCCCAGCCCTGCTGGCTCCCCAGGACATAGTGCCTGGCACAAGTGTCCCAGAGTGTTTGGGGAAGAAAAGGAAGCAGGGAGGGAGGAAGTTGCAGGGTCACAGGAGCCCAAAGATACAGAGTTCATGCCAATCCTCAGGTAGGCCTTCAGGGAGGAGGTGATATTCCAGCTGGATCTTGAATATTCAGGAGTCAGATTCCTGCCCTGGAGATGAAGATGACTAGGAGGAAGACTGACCAGGAGCTGATGGGCCTGGCCAGCTGGAGGAAGCCTCATTCAGAGGGAGGGAGGGCCCAGGGAGGCAGCCTCCTGGGTCTCACTGTGAGGCTGCGGGCCTGACCCAGAGAAGGGATCAGAGGACATGGAATGCCTGAGCTGAATTTGATCCCAAATGCCATCAATGGACAGACCCCTGGCAGAACAGTGAGTGTGTGTCTGGTTTTCCAGGGTCTGGTGAGAAGACATTCGAAGTGCACATGTGGCCAGAGAGGCTGGTGGTCAAACCCACAGAGTCGTGGGAAGTCAACTGCAGCACCAGCTGTACGCAACCAGAGAAAGGAGGACTAGAGACCACCCTGAAAAAGACCCTGCTGGAATCAGAGCGTCAGTGGCAGCGGTACTTGATCTCCAACATCTCCGAGGACACGGTCCTCTACTGTCACTACACTTGTGCTGGGAAGCAGCTGTCAAGCAAGCTCAGTGTCGTTGTATATCGTGAGTGTCTATGCCCTGGTGCCCCTCTCTCCACAGGGCCTGGCTGTGCTGACGTGCACACATCTCCAGGGTACACTCATCACACCCCCACTTCCCTGAACCCTGGGAGGAAAAGGAGCAGGGCCCAGGCAATTGTTCAGGATTCATGGCTGCCCCTTTGCTCAGACGTATTCAGCAACTGCCATCACAACAGCAGGCTGCCCAGGTCTTGAGTCTCACGCCCAGGAGGGCACCTGAGCTGAAGTTCACAGGGATCCAACCCAAAGTCGTTTCCCAAGGCAATGTCCATATCTGCCCCCACCACCATCACCACCCCTCCCCGCTCAAACCTAAGTGCTCACAGAGCACCCCATTGTCCATGACGAGAACTGGGCTGTCATCAGGAGAGCTGGGCATGCTCCCTAGTGGCCCCTTCACTGCAGAAGAAAGGGCAGAGGTGTTCCCTGATTTTGTCTCTTCCCCTGCCATAGGCTGATGGCAAAGAAGTGGCCATCAGACACAAACTTTTCAGGAACCAGTGAAAGCCATACACAAGGGCCTGGGTTCTCCCAACATCATGGCTCCAAGGGGGCATGGCTACATCTTCCCCTTCATCAATACCTTGTGTGAAATAAACAGGTATCCCAAATCTCAGGTGATCCTGGGGCTAGGGATTTGAGGAGGTGTGCTTTGCCAGTTCAGAGGGTGCCAGCATGGGCCCCACTTAATAATGAAGAAACCATGGTGGTATGAACCTGATCCTGGAGGAGCATGTGGGTCCAATCCCAGCCCACGCCTTCTAAGTGAGGGACTTTGCAGTCCTTGGCATAATCTCATTGAGCACTCCCTTCTAAGGTTCTCTGGGACAGCACCCCATCCTGACCAACCTTCCTTCCCTTGTCCCCTATAGAGCCTCCAGAACAGGTTGTGCTGAAGCTACAGCCCACGTGGGTAGCCGTGGGCAGTTCCTTCACTATTGAGTGCAGGGCACCTACTGTAGAGCCCCTGGAGAGCCTCACCCTCACCCTGCTCCGAGGCAACAAGACACTGCACAGCAAGACCTTTGAAGGGACAGCGGCTGTCCCCCAGGAGGCCACAGCCACATTCAACGGAACAGCTGACCGAGAGGATGGCCAGCACAACTTCTCCTGCCTGGCCAAGCTGGACCTGCGCTCTCGCGGTGGGGGCATTTTTCACTGGGTCTCGGAGCCCCAGGGACTGGAGATCTATGGTGAGAGGGCCCCAGGGACAGTGGCGTTAGGGATGGAGCAACTCACTTTCAGCCTCTTACGGGGGAGAAAAAAAAGCAGAATGTTTTTCTTTACTAGCATGGGATACAAGCACTTAGGGCCCCACACCTAATCCAGAGGGTTCCAGAGGTTGACAGAGCGCCACTTGGTCAATAGTGAGTTGTTTGATACCCCCAGCTCCCCTGCCACCAAGTCAGCCTGCTGTCTCTGGTCTTGGCCTTGCACTAAATTGGCAAGGGCCATCTAGCTGCCCAGCAGCCCCTGGAGCTCTGCTGTTCTGGGAGTCTGGAGAGCAGGAAGCTGGCTGCAGAGCTCACTCATCACTGCCCAAGAAGGGGCTTGGTCCAAGAAGGAACTTGGCATAAGCCATGCTAGTGTTCCAGGGGCTGCCAACAGGGGGCATCTCCTAGACTTGCAGAGGTCTGGCTGGTCCTAGCTAATACCTTGGGAGCAGATGCCATGTGTCATTCTTCTCTGCAAGGCAGATGGCTACAGGATGAGTGAGCGGGTCATAGGTGATGATGGGTGGACGTCCTGGGGTCCTGGCTCCTGCCACCACAGCTCTCCTAAGACACTGTCCTTCCATCCCCAGTGCCCCCGCAGGACACGGATATGATCATCATCATCACGGTTGTGTCAGTGCTTCTGTTGTTGTTCGTGACAGCTGTCCTGCTCTGCTTTGCCTTTGGCCAGCACTGGCGTCAGAAGCGCACAGGCACCTATGGGGTGCGAGCTGCTTGGAAGAGGCTGCCCCGGGCCTTTCGAGCACAGTCTGCGTGAGTGGCATGAGGCCGCACCAAAGCAGCCATTGGAGCTCGGCATGCCTCCTTCGGGATAGGGGCCAGCTCTGGCTGAAGGACAGTGCCCAGCAGCAGAGGAGTTGAGGACATTTCCTGTTCTAACCTGAATACAAACACCTGGCCTCAACCCTGTGCCCTCCATGTCTGGCCCCAGGGAAACTCTCAGCAGCTGGGAAGGGGAACCCAGAGGCAGGGAACTCTCCCGAAGGGTTTCCCTCAGCACCTCCTCCTTCACAGGGGCCTTCCAGAGCCTCTACCATCCCATGTTGCATGGCAGCCCCTGACAGACTGGGAAAGGCCCCAAGATGCCGCCCTCCCAAGCTTGTCCCTGAGTGCCCAATTCTTATTTAAGGAAGGTCGGAAATTCCCCGTGGCCCACTGAGGCAGAGAGGAACAATACACACCCCCTTCCCAAAATGTGGGATCTCAGCCACTGCCCACTGGAGAAGGAACCCTGCTCTGATCCTGCAGTTAGGGGGCACAAGGGAACCGCTTGATTTCAGGGGCCTGTCCACCTGGCACCGCACCCTTAGTCCTACACTGCTGTATTTCTAATGGGGCTCCTTAAGGGCCTGGGGTAACAGAAGCAATCACCACACATCATGATTATAACAAAAGGAGACATCTCAATCCCAGCTCCTGTCATCCCAGGCTGAGGGAGCCAGCGTTCTGGTCGCCAGGCCTTCCCTGCTCAGGTAGGCAGCAGGAGGGCAGAGCTGGGCAGCCTCAGCTGCCAGGCTTAGGCAGGGCTCTAGGAGCTCTGATGCCAGACGTTGGGGGCTAGGAGCTGAGGCTGGGGGCATGGAAGGTCATGGAAGGTCATGGAAGCCGAGGGGTAGGAAGGGTCCCCAGCTAAGGGCACAGAGCTGGCAGACAGGACATGAGACAGCAGGTCGAGACAAAGGCACTGGCGAGGCCCTGGGCGAGGGTCACCCCTCAGGGTAGGCTCTCTGCGTCGTAGTAGTCTGGGGAGACAGCACTGCATCTTCACTCCCTCTTGCCTCCTCAGTGAACCCCAAGAAGGAAGAGGGCAGGCACAGACCCCGTGGCAGTGATGGTAGGAACCCCACCCTATGCCGCACATACCTGTGGGACACACAGAGCTCCCAACCTGATACACCTGAACACTCTGCCCCTTGGCCCACCCACCTAGCTCCAGACCTTAGCTGGGGGTACATCTGTACCCACAGTCCCTGTGGCACTGGGGGGAGGTGGCGGGGGCACAGCTCTCCTGAGAGAAGAAAGACCACATCAAAGGCCCAGTGGTGGCCACTAGGATTCCCCTGCAGCCTCAGATGGAGTGGGATGAGGTCAATGCCCAGAACCCAAGCCCCCCAGGCCCACTTACTTGTCCCTCTTCCTGGAGGCTGGAGGACAGTGCTGAATCCTGGGTGTTTCCTGCAGGTGGGGCCGGCATGGTAGAGGGGGAAGGAGGGTGGCAGGCCAGGCTAGCAGAGGGCCCAGGGCTGACGGCAGGCAGGGCAGATAGTGGTGGTGGAACACCAGAGGCCTCTCATCCTGGATGCCCATCTCTTCTTCCAGTTCCTCGTGTTGACCCACCAGGCCGGCCTGGAGTGTGCCAACAGCGCTGGGAATCAGGCTCCTCCTCCTGCGCTGTTCTGCTCCCCTAATCTGCCTTCTCTGGGTGAGCATGAACACAAGGGCTATCCCTGAGTGCACAAGTTCTGTCTGCATGGTATATTCCCTCTTGTGTACATGGGAGCCAGGGTCAGAGATGGACAAGTTGGCTAAGGCCAGCCAGCTGTTTAGTGGCCAGCAGGGCCTGGAAGATTTCACATGGGATGCAGAACTAGTGTGTGAGTCCACTCAGATGCCCCTGTCCCACACTGGCCCAATAATAAGGTGGGCTGTGTATCCCCAGGGTTCCTGAGGTGGTGGGGCCCTGGCAGTGTCTCTTCTCTCTCCCAGGCCTCCTTTCTCCCCACCTCTTAGGACACCTAGAGAAGCAGAACAGGACCTAGTCTTGGTGCTTCCCCAAACCCCTCCCCCCACCCCATTTCTGCCCCTTGGCCTTTGGTGGACACCCTAGGCTCCTCTAAGGGTCAGATCCTACCTGGCTGTTAGGGGCCACTTGTTCCCTCTGTAAACCGCCTGACCTCATCCCACCCCATCTGTGTCCTCTTATTCTGTGCAGCTCTTGTCAATCAGTCCACGAGCCTTTCTTTATCCATCACTGCCCCTCATCACCCCTCTCCCTAAGAGCACCGGGCAGGGGGGCAGCGCAATAGTGTAGTGGTTAAAGTCCTTGCCTTGCATGCCCAGGATCCCATATGGGCACTGGTTCTAATCCTGGCAGCCCTGCTTCCCATCCAGCTCCCTGCTTGTGGCCTGAGAATGCAGTTGAGGACGGCCTAAAGCCTTGGCACCCTGCACCTGCAGGGGAGCCCTGGAAGAAGCTCCTGGCTCCTGACTTCGGATTGGCTTAGCTCCAACTGTTGCAGCTGCTTGGGGAGTGAATCATCAGACGGAAGACCTTCCTCTGTGTCTCTCCTCCACTCTGTATATCTGACTTTGTAATAAAAATAAAATAAATCTTAAAAAAAAAAAGCATCATGGTCCCATGGTATCTGTCCTCCCAGGACCTCAAGTCCAGCAAGGAATGCCCTGCAGGGAAGCCTTCTTGCAAACCAGTCCTGGGGCTTGTCTGGACTGGGGGCATGACCCCTTTGGTAGGCCCCATGGAGGCTGTCACCAGGCCTGGTACACAACAGACCCAGCCAGACAGCTGTGAGCCTGCTTCCTGACCCATCCTTTTCCTCCAGGGGTGACCCCAGATGGATCCCCACCCTGGGGCCCCAGGTGTCTTCACCCCCACTCACCTGCAGGTCAGGCACGGGGAACAAGGGATCCAGGGAGCCCTCTGCCAGGTGGCAGAGCAGCAACTGATGCACTTGTGTGTTCTGCAGCAGCAGCAGCAGTTCCAGCAGGCCTGGGCCGGGGTCAGCAAGACGTGGGTTCTACGCGAGGTCTTCCTTCCCCTTACCATGCGCGATCCTGTGCCTCTTCCCCAAGTACAGCCCTGGGCCATGGACCTGTGAGAGTATAGCTACAGCAAGGCCACACTCACCTTCCTTCATAAGGCAGGGAGGTGATGGTGGCAACACGACCTACTGAGGGGACTGCAGGATTATCCAGGGCTGGGGGCCATTGCCAGGGACAAAAGGGGATTGTGGGGCTCCCTGTGCCCCCTTGCCATCCAAAACCCCCTGGTTTCTGACCAAAGAGGGTGACTACTCCCCAGAGGCAGGGGAGCTGTGTGGGGAAATCAGCACCTGCATCCCCTGTCCCATCCCTCAGACTGGAAAGTTCCCGAAACCACATTCTTCTGATCAGAAGCTGGCAGGCTCAGCATTGCTTGAGAACAGGTGAGCAGGGAGATCTGTTTCAGCAGCTGTGGCCATCCTAAAGTAGGCCCTGAGCCACAGGCAAGGAAAATCCCAACAGGAAGCTGGGATTAGCACCTGCCCTCTCTGAGTCTCGCCCTAGGTTCAGTCCGAAGCCCTGCTGTCCTATAGTCAGAGCCAGAGAGACATTTCATCCTCCTTAGCAGGTACCCCTGGCTGCAGGGAAGGACTGTGGGTGCAGTGGGAGCCTGCTGGAGCTGTCCCCACAGGGCCTTGCAAGCAGGGGTCCCCACACTGTGCTCACAGGCCCGGTGAGTGGAGCAGAGAAGTGTGTCTCTGCCTCCACCCTCAGGCCAGATGAAGGATGAAGGAAGCCAACCGCTGTGTTCCCGGCCACAGACCTGGGCCAAGGGGAAGGGAACAGCTATAGAGAGAGCACAGAAATGCCAGGCAGTCTGCAGGCTGAATCCTATAAAAAAGGGCTCATAGAAAGGAGAGGACCCTGTCCTTGCCAGATGGAGTTTCAAGGAAGGTGGCCCCAGAGCCAAGCAGCATTGGAGGGAGAAGGCAGTCCAGGCCGGGGGTGTGGCTGGGGCCAGGGCACAGGTGCGGCAATGGACAGGACTTGAGACCAACCTCTGGGTTCCCCTGTGTGGCCGTGGGAGTGGAGCAGACCTGGGTCAGACCTGAAGGCTGCTCCGGGTAATGAAGGTTGTGCCATGTGGGTTCCAGAGCGCTCCCCAAATGACCACAATGGCCGGAGCTGAGCCAATCCAAAGCCAGGAGCCCGGAGCCTCCTCTGGTCTCCCATGCGGGTGCAGGGTCCCAAGGTTTAGGCTGTCCTCAACTGCTTTCCCAGGCCACAAGAAGGGAGCTAGATGGGAAGCAGGACCACCGGAATTAGAACCGGCGCCCATATGGGATCCTGGCACGTGCGAGGAGAGGACTTTAGGCAGTAGGCTACTGTTCCGGGCCCTGGTGTGTGTTTTTTATTTGAAAGGCTTCTTCCAGGCCCACCTCCGTGGCCTAGAGGCTAAAGTCCTCTCCTTGAAAGCACCGGGATCCCATATGGGCACTGGTTCTAATCCTGGCAGCCCTGCTTCCCATCCCTGCTTGTGGCCTGGGAAAGCAGTCTAGGACAGCCCAAGGTCTTGGGACCCTGCACCTGCAGGGGAGACCCAGAGGAAGTTCTTGGCTCCTGGCTTTGGATCAGCGCAGCACCAGCCTTTGCGGTCACTTGAGGAATGAATCATCGGAGGGAAAATCTTCCTCTCTGTCTCTCCTCTCTGTATATCTAAGTTTGCAATAAAAATGAAGCAAAAAGCAAGAAAGAAGGAAGGGAGGAAGGGAGGAAGGAAGGAAGGAAGAAAGAAAGAAGGAAAGAAAGAAAGAAAGAAAGAAAGAAAGAAAGAAAGAAAGAAAGAAAGAAAGAAAGAAAGAAAGAAAGAAAGAAAGAAAGAAAGAAAGAAAGACTTCCAGATCTCCAACATGGATGTTCCTGGAGTGGATGACCGAGAGCTTTCTACTGTTTCCCCAGGCACAGTTGCAGGGGGCTAGATCAGAAATGAGGCAGTTAGAACTTGAACTAGCTCCCTTACCGAATGCCAGTGCTGCAGACAGAGGCTTAACTTGCTAAGCCAGGGAGGCAGCCTCAAGAGGCAGGTGTTTTTGCTTGGACTCAAGACTCCAGTTACTGACTCCAGCTTCCTGCTAATGCAAACTCTGGTAGAAGCAGTGAGGACTCAAGTAGTTAGGCCTGTGGCAACCACATGGGAGACCTGGAGTGAGTTTCTGGCTCCTGCCTTGTGGCTTCCAGCTTTGCCACGTCTCTTCCCCGACTCCTCCACCCCCACACCCCTAGCCAAGGTGGGCATCTGGGGAGAGAAACAACAAATGAGGACTCTTCGTGTCTGCCTGTCCATCTCTTATGCTCCTCACTGACTGAATCAGTCCTTAGCAAGCACACTTCTGAGGGTATGAGTGACCTTGGCCTGGGCGGTTCCTGAGATGTGGGAGGTTCCAGGTCTGATTCCCAAGGCTGTGTCTACAAGGGACCAGGCCCCTCCCTCAGCCTTCTTGTACCCCTCTACAAATCTACCACATCCTGCATCCTGAGCACAGTTCAGTGGCCTGCACAAGGCAGCAACCAGGAAAGACGTTGGCCAAGACTGTTTTAGAACAACGACAGGAGGAAGTCAGAGGCCTTGGGAATCCATGTGGTTCCCAGGAGATTCTTTGGAGCATTTCATGACAGCTCCACTAGGAGTCGCCACAGCCCAGGGTTGGACGGTGTCGGCGGGGGCGGGGGGGTACTAACACAACCTCTTCGCTCCCCACCCTGGGACAGCCCTTCCCTAAGCTCTGAAGGGACAGATGCGCAACCATTGGAGGATGGAGTTAGACAGATGGACCCAGACTGCTGCATAATCCAGTGAAACAGCTGGGTGTGCGTGTGCCAGCTCACAAGTGCGTGGATACATGTGATGTGGGCAGTGTGGGTGCGGGTACAGGCACACACTTGAGGCAACGCTAACGATTATAGTAGATGGCCCTGCATTGATGTGAACAGGGGGATGCATGTGGGTTATACATACAGCTGCAGGGATACAAGTCACATATGTGCAAATATAAGAACACACAAGTTATGACTGTGGGTAGGTATACATAATGCACTTTCAACACATTTCACATCCATTGTAGGTAGCACATATGGTCCTGTGGACAAGCATGAGCATGTGAGCAAAGGGGTCTGGAAAAACCATGAAAATACAGACAGTGAAAAATGTATGACTGGATTTAAAAATTATTTTTGCATTCAGATAAGCCTTTAATTAACTCCCTTTTCTGTTGTTTGCTCAAGGTGCCCATCATAGGTATGTATATGCACACAGGAAGTTTCTATGGGTTTGGGAGCA